AGTCTAAAGGCACTCAAAGTACTAGCCAAAATGCTAAAAACTGACACATTTAAGGAGATAAACCCCAATTTGGTATACACTGTATTCGTAAGCATCACCCCATATCAGGGCATATATAGTTTGTTGCGCAATGTGAATCAGTGCTTTTAAACAGAGATCACAGGAACCAAAAATTTTCTGTCATTATCCTCCTCTAATTTTTTACCTTCAAGCTTATTAGTTGGAAGAACAGGTGCTTCCGGGCCAGTTTCAGTCTTGATATCTCTATTAAAAATGCCATTATAAATAAGGTGGTAACTTTTTCAAATGAAAGCGTTTTCAAAAAAATAAAAATAAAAAATTAGAGCTCGTTTTGAAAACCCCAAAGACAGAAGTCTTTTTTTGAAGTTATACTTCAATGCGTTATGCACGTACCCACCAACTAAAAGAGTGCAGCTTTTAAAGTACGATGATACGGCTAACACCAAACAGCACAATTGTACTTTAGATGCACACTTCAACCCTTATTCTTTTGTTTTGCCTCTCAGGCCGCTTCCGCTATTAAGTTACGCTAGATTTCCTTCATACTTTCTGAAGTCGTCGTTTTGCGTTGGTCAGAGTCGTGTACAAGATAAAAATTTGATCAAAGACTTTGTGCAGAATAAACCGGTGCCGTTGTTGTTGTTGCTGGTTGACTCTCTGAAAGAGTAATCTTGTCGGCACTTTTCTTTTTTGAATGTTTTACTCATATGCTTATAGGATTTTTTTTATCTTTATGAAGTGTTACTCGATGAATCGGGTAAGGGTGATTTGGAAAATTTTTTTTGAAACAAAATTTAGATTTCAAGGACTGTGTGGTGGGAAACAATACCGGACTGGATTGAAAACGTCAGGGTTTGAGTAAAAAAAAATACAGAATAATTGAATGCTAAGGAATAATAACAGTGAAATGTAAAAAAATTGGCGAAGGAATAAGGGTAGTATAAGAAAAATATAATAAGGATTTGCTAGGAAATATAATTTAAAAAAAAAAAAAAAA